TTCAATGTGAACCAGTCTAATTCCCCAAAGCAGTAAAGATTTCCCTGCTGCATTTCATTTTCAGCTTACTGTGTTTTTAGGTTACTGGTCTCGCAGGGAATGTTCTACACAGACAACCCCTGTCACCAAGCTCCTTTCATTTAATACAATGAAAGTGCAACTGGATTTGAAAACATCATGAATTCGTTACTAAGAATCTCAAAGAGGCGATTCCAGGACTTAGGGCAACATTATTAAAGCAATAGGAGCCAAATTTTTGAAGATACTTAAATACTGACAGTATTTAAATGACAGTTCCAAGGTACTACTTCAAGTGTGGTCACAGAATAAAAAAAAATTAGGTTGGAAAGATCTTTTGGGGTTTAACCCAACTTAGGTCAGGTTGCTCAGGCCCACACAATGTCAATGAGGAGCAAATCTCTTGGGATCACACAAGTTCCTTTGGATCTAAAGGTGCAACTGGAAGCTGGGGTATTCAATGTGCTGCCTACACCAAGAGCCCCCCTGTGCTATGTGAGCAACGCCATCACACAGGTGATTTGTTACACTCTGTTTATCCCATTTAATGCTCCTGCTCCTTCTAGGAATCCCACAGGGGTTCATCTGGGACAAGCAGCACAAACCCCAGAAGACACAGTTCTCCTCATTCCCAGAATGTTATGGAAACCAGCGGGGCTTGGAGTTCACAGTCATAAACAGAACAGTGGTGGTTTCACCTCCATCCCTGTACCTCCATCACATCCCACAGGAGTGCTGCCCAAAGCTGCCATCACTTCATTCCCTACATTACCAGAAGGGGATGATGGAATGAGTGAGATTCTTAATGAGAAATCTAGGACAAAATGACTGATTCTGTGCCTTGGTCTGAAAACAACGTTAATAACATGGCTGAGAGCAGGCTCTGATGCTAATTATGTGATTTTACAACACTCCATGACACTTTTTGATCAGTGTTTTTCTGTCATTTCTACCAGAATCACAAGCACTGAGCCTTAAAGCCCTCGTGGACCCTGGGTCACTCAGGGACATGCACTTGGAGCTCCTCATTATTTAAGTTCCTTCAGCAGGAGCTTCTTTCTGTGCAGAAAACTGCTCTCCCCAACCACCTGCCCCTGCACAGCCTCCCAGGCTGCCACACCTTGAAGATCACTCTGCTAAATCAGAATCTCACCAAACACACCAAACAAGTCAATCTGATATCAAACCCCCCTCGTTTGGAACAGCTACAAGACTTGGCCAGAGCACACTGGACAGTCAGGGAGGCAGCACTGTCACATATAGCCCAGGAAAACCCTCCTGGCATCCAGCCCTGCTCCCAGAGGCTCACCCCACGCTGCTCAGACAGTTTTTCCTCAGCTCTGAAGTTCTGAAAACACGGTTCTAAGGAACACGTTTGCACCTTGACTCCAGCTCCGTACTTCACTCCGTACTGCACAGCACAGCAAGGCACTAAAAGCCTGGAAGCCCAACACACTGAATCACCGTAATTAACACTCTGGCCTCCCGCCACGAAGGCTCAGCATCTGAAACAGTCCCTAAAAGGACATTAGGAAGTGAGAAGGCGAAATACAGTTCTACCTGCGCAGCAAGCAGCGGTTATTTATTTGAAACAAAAACACTCACTGTTAGTGCAATCCTCTGACACTCGTATTCCTGATCCTTTGCCCACTTGGAGCTGGACTCGTCAGACTCCCAGCAGCACAAAATGTTAATGTTTTGCCTGCGAGCTGCCTTCCAGGCTGCTCTTTCTCCCTACAGCTCTGGAAACATTGCTGGAGCCGTGGATTTCACGGGAGCTGCTCCCCAAGTGTCTCTGAGGCACAGTGCACAAGGCATGGCTTCCTGCTGCCCCAGATACAGCAATTCCTCCCGGGAATGGCAAACAAGAATCTCTAAGAGGGTTTTGCTGTTAAATCTTTTCTTGTTAAGACGGGGAAGAGAAAATCTGCTTTGTGACAGTGGCACTGTGGGGAGTTCAAACCCAAGGGTCACAGGAGAGGCACGCTGGCAACAGGAACCTCGCTGGAGGGGAGATTTAATACACAAGTTCTTCCAGAAAACAAAAACAAACCCCCACACAATTCATCACGCCGCTGCCATTTCTAAATTAGAATAAACAGCCACGCAGAAAATGTAAAACCAGCCAGGAATTCAGCCTGGTGTGGTACAAAACCCGGGAGAGGGGAATTGGAGGCTGCCCCCATTTCCTACACACCATCCTCATTACGGAGCAGCAACACAAAACCCAGTCCCTACACCCTTACAGGGGACACCAACACAGAACTTTTCAGAGGTTACTGCAAACAAGGTGCTTTCAAATAAAATAAACTTTAAAAACGCTTGGCAAGAACATTCCTTTCCCAGTTGGCAGACAAGTGCCCCAAGCTCGCACCTCTCCAAGATCTCGAATTTAAAATCTGAGCCAAAACGGCTCCTTTTCCTTTCCTTTCTCAGTGACTTTTCCAGCATGAGACACTCAGGTTGAGCTCAAAAACCCCACTGCTGTTTTAAGCCAGTAACATTTAAAATGGATTCTGGCAGAGGTGTCTGCTCTGACAGCCATATAGTAAGTTGAAAAGGAGAAATTAAAAACTTAATTAAAAGCTAATGTTGGAAAACTGAGCAGCTCCTGTTCCCACCTTTCTGCAAGGAGGAAAGTGGTGGGGGGACACCGTGTGAGACATGAAGCTCTAATTCTTTTTGCAGCACTCTGTATTGAAGCAATCAGACACACTTTGGTTAAAAAAAGAAAAAAGGCAGGAAGATGGAAATGATCCTACTCTGAGAATGATTTTGGATACTGCTTGACTTCCACGTTTGTAGACAAGGTGCTCAGCCAAGAGAGAACTTTCTCTGCTGTTACTCTGAACAGCTTAAGCCCAGTTGGTTCCTTAAAAGCATCTTAAGACGTCACTGGAGGGAATTCCTGCCCATGACCCACAGCAACCTGTGATGAGCAGGGAGGCTGAGCCTCCTGGATTTCTGAATCAGCTCTGCCAGGAAGTCCCTGGGTCTGCACCTGTAATTCCTCAGGTATTTACAACAGCACTGTCATCCACAGTCAGCCTTTGCAACCACAGTTTCCCCTGCTCCTGCTCACTCCAAAAATGATGCTGGGAGTGGCCAGGGTGGGGGGCATAGGGGTGGAAAATGGACAGGAAGTGAGGGAATGGCTTTTGGGGTGGCAGGACCAGTTCCCAACAACTGATGGGCTACAAGAGCAGCACTGACTCATTGACTGACAGACTACACTGGCCCAACCCCTGTATTCATAACACCCCCCAAAAAGCCCTCCATGAAGCAACAAACACCCCCACATGTAAATAAAGATCATCCTTAGTAGGGGAGAAAACACCAGACAGGAGAGAAGCGCTAGACTTTGTTAACAAAAATAAATGCACGTGTTCTGTTAAAGGCTCTTTGGCTAAAGACCAGTTTCTGAATTCCACTGAATTCATCACATCCAAGGCCAGCCCAGATACCTTAAATCAGGATGATTCACACTGGTTTAGGAAAAGAAGTTAAAATTAAGAATGGCACAGGTTTCAAGAGGCATTCACAGGCCAGCCACCTACCAACCAGTCAGACTAAGTCAATTTGCTTTAAGGACACCCAGCAACAAGCTGAGAGAAACAGCAGCGACTTCAAAGAGCAAAATGACCTATCAGAGCAACACTTACACACCACCGAATGTTTCTTCATCTACCACCAGGCACAGGAACACTAATTAAGGCAGCTTACAAGACACAACAGAACCACTTTTTAAGCTGCAAGATAAACCCTCCTACTTTACAAGCCTGGTACCTGCCCCTGCTTCTAAGAGGGGGCGAGGCTGCTCAGTCTTACCTTGTAAATAAATGAGGAGCTCACACTGGAGTTACAACACATTGGGACAGAGCCACCAGTTGGGAGGGGGTTGGTGGGTTTTGGGGTTTTTTTTTTCCCCACTTCCCTTGTGAGACACCTGCTGGAGTTTATTCATACAGACAACTGGTTTATCTGAAAACACCACACACGAGTGCTCCCAAAACACTCCCAGAAGAGTCCTTCAAAAAGGATTCTGAGGAAACTAAGCTGGGCTAAGGGGAGTCTGTGGCAGATTAAAGAAGTTAATTAAGATAATTAATTACATTAAACAACTCCAGCATGAATCCACACTGAAAAGAGATTCCAGCTATGATCTATTCAGCAAATTCATAACTAGATGGAAGAAGAGAGTAATAGATATGAAACAAAACTGACTGATGATCCTTTGGGATAAGGCACAGATTTCCAGGATGGTAACATTTAAGATGTTGACAGGTGTAGAAAGCTCTCACAATGCCCAGAGACAAATAAATCTGTAAATTGGTAGATAAAGAGAAGGGAGAGAGGCAAACATTTCCAATTTGTGTGAACCACTGCGAGGGGGAAAAACATCCACCTTCTCACAGCGAGTTCCCTGAGAACATTTGTTGCTCGGCAGCAAAGGAGGATAATGGGAATTATCAAAACAAACAGAGAGGGGAAAACACGCGTCTAGAAAGTCTGGTGTGAGCTGGGGACAGAGATTTAATGCCTCTATGTATCTGTCAGTAAAAAGCCAGGCACTGAGACGCGTTCTCGGGAGGGGAAAGATCTCCAAGATCACCCAGCACGGGCTGGGAGCGGCTGCAGCACAACACAACCGGGACAAACCACAACAGACCCAGAGCAGGCCGAGCTCAAACACAACACAGTTAACATAATTAAACATCTGAACGGCTCGCAGTGCGATATGACAATAATCTGATGCCTGTGGATGTCTGAGACACGTGCTTTGGCTCCCGGCTGGACACGGCAAAGCCGGCAGGGAAGAACCAGCCCCGGTCAGTGACAGGATAAGGGAACAGCAGCACTTCCAGCACCAGCAGTCTCCAGAATGGGGGTGCTGTTTTCATCACGTACACAGGGCAGGTACATCCCGCCCCGCAGAGCCCGAGGGCACGGGCACAGCCGCTGGAGCACCGCTGGAAACGCACCTGCCGCCGTGCCGTGAAGACTCTGGGGCAACACTAAAGGCTCAGCTTGTCCAGTTACACTTAAAAAACCTCAACGCACGCTCCGCAAAACCCCCGGCCGTCAGCCCGCGTCCAAACAAACCCGAGCAACTCCTTCCTCCCCGCGGGGAAGCAGCGGGATCCCGCCGTACGCGACACATTCCCGGCTCTCCCGCGGGGAATTCGGCCGCGGGGGAGGAGGAAATGGGGCGGGACGCAGGCGAGGGGCTCTCCGTTACTAGGCAGGGCGGGAGCGCATCCCGCGGGTCCCGCGGCCTAGTGGCGGGGAAGGGGCGGGGTTGCCATGGAGACCGGATGGGCCCGTCCCGGGTGCAGCCGCCATGACAACCCCGACCCGGCCGCCCTGCCACGGAGACCCCCCCCAAATCTCTCCTGGCTCACCTGGGAGGGGCGGCGGGCGCGCCCTCAGCACATCCCGGAGCGAGGCCGGACTTGGGACCGGGGGGGGGGACACGGCGGCCACTTCCTCAACCGGGGCACCGCGCAGTAACGCGCCTCCCCATTGGCTGCCGCCGCCGCGCGTGACAGCTGGGGCCGCGCACGCGCAGAGCGGGGCAGAGCCGGTCCCCTGAGGCCACGCGGGCGGCGCCGGGCGCTGCTCGTAATTAAAGGGGCTGTTAATTAACGGGGCGTCCGTGAGCGCAGGCACTTGCGAAATGGGAGGTGGGGTTGCGTCACACCCCTGTGTCACCTGGCCGGAAGTTTTCCCTCCGTCCTACAGTGGAGAAGGACCCAGGAGACTTCTCACAGTGCAGGGACTTGGTGATTTAATGGCTCTAATCCTGAAATTAGGAGTGTTTAAGGGTTTTTCCTTGTTGTCGAAGCTCTACAAAGTGAGTTGAGACAGGATATTTCAGTCGAAAAGGACCTACAGTGCTTACCAAGTCCAACTGGCTGAGCAAAATTTAGAGCATGTTTATTTATTTTTAATAATAACAATAATAATTGTAATTAATAATCAGAAATACAAATTATTATTGTTATTGTTATTATTAATACTATTATTATTATTATTTCGATTAGATAATGTGGGGGTTGGACTAGATGAAATCCAGAGGTGCCTTCCAACTCTAACTATTCCATTATTATTATTATTAGGATTATGATTATTATATTATTATTATAATTAACCTTCCCTTTCCAGAGAAGGACAGCCACAGTTCCCTTTCCAGCTGTTTCATTCAAATCAGGCTTTCCCATCTTCCATCTAATTTGTCCTTATTTTGCAGCCAGTGTGGAACCACAGCCCCCACATCACCTCACACAAGGACCAGAGCAGCAGAGGTCCTTGTCACAGCCACTGATGTGTAGAAAGAACCCTTTTTTCCTGCTTTTTCACCCCTTGGAGGGGGCTCAGAGAAGGACAGCACGACAAGAAAGGGGCTGGACACCACATTTGGTTGTTGTGCCAAGAGCAGCATGTTCTGCTGCCCTTCCCAGATGATTCCATGCATCCCTGTGCCCCACTCAGAGCTGGCCTGAACACCACAGCCAGCCTTTGGCCAGTTTTCCAGCCAGCATTAGCAAAACATGCCAGATCTCACCCCAGCTTTTCAAGAATCACTGACTGAGGTGTCTGGAAAGGGCATTTCCCCAGCTGGCAGGTCAATGGGTCACTGAGTTTTGTCCCCTCCCCAGCACAGGCCTAATGAGTTGGACCTTCTAACCAACTGAAAGATAAAAAAATCTTAATTGTTTTAATTCTCATTCTTCTAATTGTTTGACAGAGAAATGGCAGATTTGTTTCAATGCTTCTTAAATTGGTTCCTTTAATAGGAAGTGCTGCTTTACTCTACTCTTGTGCTTCCCAAACAAATGTCTGTGTTCCAAAAATATACAGTGTACACATCCTCTGTAGCTATAGATACAAACATTTACAAAGAAACAAGCAGGCTGGGGTGGAATAGCTTGGAAAAACCCAAAAATCACACAGGGCCTTTTCTCTTGGCCCTCCCAGAGCCAGAGCAGCTGGGCTCAGTGTGCTGTGAACATATCCAGGTGGAAAATGCACAACTGAGGAATATCAGACCCTTGGAGCAAAAGGATTTCCACACACAGCAGAGGTTTGGAGTTTCTGCTGCATATTCCCACCCCCTGTTTTGTCCCTTAGTATCTGCATCCCACGTCCAAACCTTCCAGGCCTGCTGCCAAAGGGCCGATCCCTCACGCTCGGCTTCACTCCAGAGAGGAAAATGTGGTTCCCAGGAGAGTTTGGTTTTATCTCCGAGGCTTCCCCAGGCTCCAGGGGAGCTGGGACACCGTGCAGCCTCTGTCCTAGCGGATGGGCCGGTATGGGAATGTCATTCCTGGAATGAAGGTCTGCACGGGGTGTGCCGGGAGCGCGGGGTGCGCCGGGAGCGCGGGGTGAGCGGCGTGCGCGGGGTATCCCAGCGGAGGGGTGTGGATGTGGGGGTAAAATCCTGGTGGCAGGGCCCCGTGGGTGGGCTGCTGCACTGGACCCGAGATCACCAGCTGGAGCAGGCTGTGGAGAGAAATCCAGACAGGAGGGAGGATTGTTAGAGCAGCTTCTGTGGTGAATCCAAGGGCGACTCGCACCCGACGCACAGCACAGCTGAGGGGCGAGGACAGGGACTCAGTTATGCTCTTTGCAGCTTCCAGAAGACTCTTTTTTTTCCCTTTTCCCCCCTCTTTTTTTTTAAACTCAGTCACTCTTTGCAAAGAGACAAGAAGCAATTGAGCTTAGGGCCAGGTAATACAGGCAGGGAGATGGGGATGGGACAACTCAGGGGCAGGTTCCTGGCTGGAATTTCATTTCCCTTTCCGTGTATTTGTTTTAACACAGGCTGGGCAAGAGCAGATATAAGGTGGGAGCCACTGAAATCCCCTTCAGTCAGGAGTCCAGGGAAGAAGTAATCAGCATTATGTCACCTTTAGCCCTATGTGAGCAAAGGCCAGATTCCAGGATGATAAATTTTTAGAGGAGATTTTGTCTCAACAGCCCTCAATGTCCTGGAACAAGCATCAAAAACAACACAGCTGCAGAAAGGTCTCTTACTTGTTATGTGGTAGCCTGGAGCACACAGTCCTCAAGTCATCTGAAAGAGGACAGAACACATAATAATAAGGATAAAGCAGAAATTAGAGTGATTTTCCTCTTCACTCTCCTTTCTAGGAAGGTCAGATTACTGAATAATCAGTAATTTTACTGAGTAATTACTGAATAATCAGCAATCTGTCATCATCACCAGTCATCAACACATCCAGAATCCCATTCTCAGGCCCCAAAACCTCCACAGGGGAGAAAATGTTCTCCATCTCACCAGCTTTCCACACCAGCCACTTTACTGTGTTTGACATTTAAGGCAGACCAAGCCTTAGGGTGGATTTTGCAATGCCAATATACCAACAAGGAGTAACTGAGACATAGGAAACATAAGGCATGACTCTGCCCACTGAATATAGCATTTATGAGGAGAAAGGCATCAGGTCAAAGCAAGGCAAAGGTTACCCAATGCCTGTTTTGTCTTGGTTTGGTGTTTTTGAAACACTGACAGTGTAAAGAAAGGGTTGGGTTGTTGGTTTTGTTTTGTTTTTGCTGAGATCTATCAACTAGAAATTGCAGCTTTTTTACCATCTCCAAACTTCTGCTCAAGCAGAATAACTAGAACCAAGGAATTTAACAAGATACCCTGTTGATAGAGTGCTCTCAGGAATAGCTGGAGAACAAACCTGCCTTTGTAGATGAAACCACTCCCAAAATACTGAGATATCTGATATTTCAGCAGCACCTTACACTGAACTACCTTCTACAGTAAGAGCAAGTGCTCAGAATGTTCCAGGTGAACAACTAAGAACCAACACAGCTGAAATAAGCCATCAGCTCAAAAAACTCCAATTTCTGCTTGTTCTTATTACATTTGGAGCTACTTTATAAAAGCTTAGGAAGAAGAACACTGAAATTTGACCAGCAGCACTGGTTCAGCCAGGGCTAAAGCCTCAGGCACCTGCTTAGGCAGAGGCCACTCTCAGCAGTTGGGGTCTGCACCAACTGTCCCAGTGGTTGGGGAGCCTTAAGCCTTCTGGTCACCCCCAAAATTCCCTGTTTTCAAGAGAATATAACAAGAAAACAGCCTTTCTGGCTGACCCCGTGCTGTGTTGAGGCACTTCCCTTTTTCATCTCTGCAGTTCTTCTGGAAAGAACTGGCTTTGGAGACAGGAAAGCCAGACAAAAAAAACCACATTAGCAGACTTTTTTAAACAAGTTTAACTGAAATTGCACACACTGTAATGGGGTCTCATTGCAGGTGAGCTGAATGCCCAGAAGTTCCAGATGAAGTGTGTTTGTTTGCTTTACAAATTCTTTGTCTAGCACACCCACCCTGTGGGTTTATGTGCTTCATGGACTCTCCTCCAGCAGGCAAACTCAGAGATGTCGAACTGAGGCACAACTAGACAGTGCTTTTTAAATAGCTACAAGCAATTCTGAGGGGAACAAATTTGTCCCTGTGCCAGACACCCAGGTTTAACCCCCTTGTGCACACTGCAGGGTTGAGGATCAGTTCAAAGCAATGTATGTCACCTACATCAGTGATCTCTCTTATTCTCCATCCAGCTATTTTCCCTGAACTATTTCCTGTACTATCGCTTTCCAAGAGGGGCAGACTACTAATCCTGCTGTGAGCACGTTGATCTTCACTCCCCTCACTCCAAAACTCCCTCTTACAACTTCTGCACAGTGGAGGAAAAGAATCCTGTGCCGGGGTCTGTGCCAGCCCCACCACCAACTCACCTCTAGTGCACAGGAGTGCTCCTGATGCCATGGCCACTTGCAAAGCCTGGGCCAGCCTGTCCAGAGCCAGTTCAATCTCTTTGGATGCATTGAGAGGATTGAGTTCATCAGACAGTCTGTTGATTTCCTCAACCAGAGGAACCACGTGGTCAAAGGGCACCAGCCCCAGGCGCCCGTAAAGGTTCTTCTCCGTCAAGTGCCCCTGAAGCATCATAAGAACCTGCAGGACACTCAGGTGCAGCTTTGAGTACAGCTGGTGGCAATCTTTGTCTTCTCCTGAAGCCGAGTCCTTGGCAATTTTGCTGGGAGTGTGTCCATTGGAGAGAGAGGCTTTCTTCTTCCTCTTGTAGGCCAGGGGGGCCTTCACGCACCAG